GGTTTTTCAAAGTGATGAATTCAGCAACGATTTACCGGGTTCAGCGAGTTCACCGCCGACAACCCTGGGTCCTCCGAGGAGCCTGTTGCGGACAATATCAGGAAGTCGACCTGCTGACCTTGCTAGAAAGAAAAGGTGAACAATTTAGCCAGAAATGAAAGATCTAATTTAATAAATTGTTTATTCTCTCGTGCATATGGTATTTAGACGGAATTTTCCGGATACCAGGACACTTTCACGAGCGTCTCAGCTGAAAAATTCTTTATTAATTCAAAAAAAAAATTTTCGCATAAAGTATAGAAAAAATAATTTATTCATTAATTGAGTTGGTCATAAAAATTACTTTATCGGCTTTCGGCTATCGTATTTTTTAAATGTTCCAAAAAACAGTTTCTGAAGGATTATCATTATTGATCGGATTTATTATCATTGATCGAAAATTTAAAGTCGAAGTCGTTCGGGAAAATTTTCCGAGCTAAAGCTGATCACAATCTTCATCAGCCATTTTTAATAAGACTTCAACTTTCGTCTACCAAAATAAAAAGACAAACATGCTATATATTTTGGAATTCAAAAAATATTCTATGCGGAATCAAAATAAAATCCGGTCTTTTGTGGAACTCATTTTATAGGAAAAATGTTTGGAAGACGGAGCTCAAGAAGTTGTTGTTTGACTAAGGTCGCAGAAATTCCATCTGGTTATGCCTTGAGGATTTTGAGGACAACATAGAAAACCCTTATTTCCTTGGACCTTCCAGCTTAATCCTATGCATTGAATGTAGAAAAAAAGGAAAATCTTGAAAAATATTTTGTTCATATATCTAATAAATCTCTGCACTACGTGAAAAGTATTGGAATTTATTATCTGGATTTTTTATAGGTGCTAAATTGCACTTTTAATTTTTTCCTTGAGTAGCTAGCAAATTTCTCAATATTATCCCAACTTTGCTGACCTGATGAAGCTTACCACAATCTCTCTGTCCTAGCTTTTGTGCTGAATTCAAATGGAAACCTGTTCAAATTAGCATACAAAAATAAATCAGTTGACAATTTTCAATGCAAAATTAATTTTACTTGCAAATCTAGGAGATATGCAAATTCAAGAAACAGAACCCCTTTTTTTGTAGCCAACTTTTGTATGATAAGTGCGTCTTATATTCAAGGGAATGGGTTTGAAAACTGACCTTGTATTCTTAAGAATTGCCTCTTGTTGCATTTGCAATGATGATTCAATAGACTCCACGATTGAAATTGAAAAGAGAAAAATCAAAAGACATCCACAAATCTGAGAATAAGTTACTGCCCAAAGCATACCGGCCCTTCTTTTAGAAATTTGAAAATACAGTTTCTGGACCATTTTATAGCAGCACCAGCAGGGCTGGATTAAACCACATTTTGGCCTGATGCTGCACAAAAAATGGGCCTAATATTCCTTTGCAAAAATGAATTTTCCTCACACAATTAAAAATGTAATTTGTAGCAAACAATGGGTATCTGAGGCTAGAATTCAATCACACAAAGATATGGTAAAATTGCCCCTCAATGAATATCATTAAAATACACTTTTCTTATAATGCATTTTTCTTGGCCCTGGCAGTTTCTCCATAGGCACCATATTATGGATATATCATTGTAATGAACTCATTTAGGCTGTTGTCTAATTATAATAGAATGTTGGGCTTGATTCTGTGCATAGACTATAGCAATCATTTCATAAATGGTGGAAGGAATACAAAAAATGAAAAGGTGCAGCATTTCAACTTCTTATTGAAAGACTAAAGATTTTTGTAGAGAAGGTTTGGTGTTCAAAAAATGTACATCACATATTTTTTGGAATTCTTTAGCTACATTCCAATTTGGATGCCTTTCTTTCAAGTAAACAGTGTCCTAGAAGATATGCTCCTCTGTTTGAAGGAGCATCAGACAGGTATGAGAAAAAAGTTGATTTGCATCCATGGCATTCACCAAAACACTCAAAGTTACTCTTTCAAAGCTTTGGATTATGCTTGTACAAAATTCACATTTCAAAAGAATATCCTGTAACAAATTATAAACCTGAATTATTAGCCAACAGGCTGTTTTGTGTTCAAATATTACAGATAGTGTATGAAACCCCCCCCCCCACTTACCATTGTTACAACACATATTACTTGAATTCCTCAAAAGTGAAAATGCCCCACCTTGCCTTCATTAAACATTTATTAACAGTGGCATAAATCCAAAAACTATATGGAAACGTATCTAAATTACAAATTTTCAAGTATATATGCTCCAACATAAAACTTGGTGCATTTGATAATAATTTGAATTGTTTGGTTAGAATAGGAATGGGCACAAAAACATCAGTTGTTCAACTCATGGCACAAATGATGTACAGATCCCAAGAAATTCATGATGATGAAGTATGTTTCTGTGTTAAAAGCAGAGATTTCTCACTATAATTTCAACTTTAACTTGGATTGCAAGTCAAAATTACAACCACACATTCCATTCATTTAAAAAGTCACCAAATTTTAACCCATGCTGTGTGGATTACTTGGGATATTCTAAAAATGTGGTGCCCATCCCATGAGCACTTAAAAAAAATTGCATTTCTGAATGATTGCTCAAGCAAGGAAAAAGATCAATACAATAATTTATTCCAATCCTGCCAAAAAGTTTGATTAAGATTTAGAAATTCTTTTAATTTTTTACAGTGTCATCATTGCAAAAAAAAAACTTGTAGTGTTCACATTGGAATGTAGTGAGAGGCTCCAAAAAAAAAGCAAAGAGAAATAACATTCAGCAACTTGGAAATATTTTGATTACCTCCAAAATATTTATATAGACCATATAGTAGCAATGGACACTCTAGAAAGTACACATTGAAACTGTCAATTTTCTTATATTAAAATCTGGCAAGAATTCAAGATGAAGACATATTTTCCCACTGCAAGATACACAGGGATATGTAAAGAATAACAATCTCAGTTTTCCACACTCCTGCTACTAGAATTCCTTATAGAAAATATGGCTTGGACAAGATACCCTTGGCCTGGTGCACAGTAGAAAATTGCAGGGGGGATATATTCCTGTTTCCCAGGATGCAAGGTGAAAAATATATTTTTTAGGGGTGTGTTCAAAAAGAATCTTCATTGCAAAAAAGGGCCATTTTGATTTATGGAACCCAGAACAATTAATGACAAAGGGGGAGGGGAATAAGGAGGCACAGCAGAGAATGGATTAAATAAAATTAATTTTCTACATCACAATTGTTTATAAATCACTGATTTTTTAGAAATAATATATTTTAATTTTCAAACATGATAAAATCTCTTCCGAAGATTTTTGAAGCCACCACAGGCTTTTGAAGTGGGGACAGGACTCCCAGGAGAGACACTTTTATACCACCACCAGGGCATGACCAGAATTGAAATCTCTGTTTGGTTTTTTCCTTCCTATGATGTCTGTGACGCTGCATTTCCTCTTTTTGATAATAAGCCTGGACATATTTTTAATACAGGAATGATTGTGTTCTCTCAACCAAGAAAATGTCCATGTTTGTGTTTCCTATTGAAGGGTTTCTATGTGCATGCACATAAAAAACAATTTAATTCAAGCACACTGCAGTGTGCTTGAATTGATTTAGTGATGCCTAATTTTTAAAATCTTTCATCAGAAAAGGTTTTGCACCAGAAAAGGCAGCTATCAAATTCAAAATGCTTCAAGCTATTCAATCCTTTAAGTGTTTGGGTAGAAAAAATGGGGAAAATGTGAATTTCTTCCTCCAAAGGGTAGTTGAGGGGTTTTCAAAAAGGTTCCCTTAATTGCATGCGTTGTAGGGTTTTAAACTTAAAGCAGAGATTTTCAAGCCCTACACCTTGATCAGTTAGACTTTATCTATTGGAAATGATGAATATAGTTCAAGTACTTAAATACTTAAACACAGTACTGTACCTGTTTGGTGTGCAAACCAACCAGGGATTTTTTCCCTAAAGCACTGACCTTTTTTTTCTTGTCACACAACAATAATTTGGCCCGTCCCAAGACGCGCCAATTAAGTTTCAAGCCCACGTGTTCTCCTGTTTTCAGGGCAGCAATTTTGCCAACGAAAAAATTCCGCACATACGTTTTTGAATGAATTGAAAGCAGTCACCCATGCAAAACATTTCCTCATACCGTGCAGTAATGAAATATCGAGGATTTCTAGCAAATTTTTGAAAACATATTTATTTTTAATTCTTCATTGACAGAATGACAAAAGCCAAAATATTTACGGTAATCTCGTGGCGACATATTTCGAATAACTGCCCCAGCTCAGGGGGCCAATAAAAAAGAAAAGGCTCGGTTTTTTGTTGGGTTAAGATTTCCTCACTTTTTCAAGTTATACAAGAAAATTTCCTTCTAGATACCTATATACATTAAACAAGGGTATCTTCAAATACTTTCGCGGCTTCCTCAAAATGTGGGCGGAATGCTGGAGAATGACAAGAAACTGCAATAAAACAGGACATTACAGATACAGAAACAAAATTGTATTTTTCCTTTCAAAAGAGGAAGGTGAAGACAGAAAGTGCCCAAAACGGAAAACTGATTTGCAGTCAACTGACGATTGTTGTCCCTGTGTCACCAATGAACAAGGGCAGAGATGCAATCGTTTCCTTCCGGTTGCCAAAAAAAACGGAAAGTGCGGCAATCAAGGATGAATTCGAATGGCAGCATTTTATTTTTCAAGGCAGTCCATTCATTTCCTAGTTGACCCCGGTATTTTCGGCGATCCATGGCAAGTAGGTCAGGACGTCGGTGTAGACTGCAGGGAAACCCTTGGTTCCACAGGTCGGAGAACCCCAGGAAACCACACCAAACAAATACTTTTGGCCATCCTCATTAGCTTCGCAGACCAGTGGGCCACCGGAATCACCCTAATTGAACGACAATTTAAGTAATTATCGAATCAATGTCACCCATAATTGATTTTATTGATTGATTGACTGACGCGCGAGATTTATATTTGCTGCTTTTCAGCGTTCACAAGGTTCACAGACCCCCAGATCCATTGAAATCATTCCGGCACATCAAAAATGATACCTTACATACAGTAAAATCTCCTTGAAAAAAACTGTTGTTGAACAAGAAATTGTTTACAACAAAGTCGTTTTTGGTTCTCTGTGTCATGGCCCAAAGCGACACAGCTCCAGCATCTGGTTGAGACCCCAAAACTTGTTGTATTTATGAGGCCAGTGAGCCTGGAAAAAATCCCGTTTTTGGAGACTCACTGAGCCTCACTCAAGGACAAGAAGTGGTTATCACTTCTTCCATTTTTCTGAATTGGCCAATCCTGAGCCAGGAAGAAATCACCTGATTTCTTCCTGACCCAGTCCAAGCACCTGGCTATAAAAACCCTCATTCCTCTTTGAGAGGAGAAGTCAGAACCGAGTGTTAAAGGGCCTTTTAACTTTAAATTACCTCATTCAATATTCTGAGCTAACCAACCAATCTTAAATTGACTCTCCCATTAAAACCATTCATTTAACAGCCAATTGATGAACTGGGCAATGAGAATGAACTCCTCTGAAAAGCGTTTGAGTTCTTATTCAAAACTTGCATTCTGATGGCAGCACAATTCAATTCCTTTGTCTGGGATCCAATGGGCCCATGACACACTGCTCAAAATTTGAGGGTTAAATAGAGTTCCTGGAGTGCAAAAAAGGGAACCCAAATCTGGCATTTAAAATAGCGAATTTCCAATATTTTATTTAAGAGAACCCTACAAAAGTAAGATATCCTTGAACTAAGTAAACTTACAAAGCAGGCATTCACTCCTCCATCCTCAGTGTATGCACAGAAGTGAGCTGCAGGCACAAGTTCTGCTCCTTGAGGTGGTCCTCCGATGGCATCAAACAAAGCCTTGCAATCTTCATCAGACAAACCTAAACAACATGAAACGTTTTTTTTTATTAAAAACTGCAACCAAGAATCAGGCGGGTTATGTAGCAAAATCTTGTTGCAATGAATTGGCATTGGGACCAGTAAAATAGCTTTGTTGGAAGAGAACTGATTCAACATTATGGCTAATGAACAGGGACCTAAAAACCATTTCCTTGCTATTAAATATTCGTTATAATGCAATTCCTTGTAACGAGATTATACTGTACAGTGGGCCCCCATCTTACGTCATCAATCCGTTCCAGGATGGACGTCGTAACATGGGGCCGTCGCAAGTTGAAACCCTATTTCCCTTAAGGTTACATTATAAAAAAATTAATTCGTTCCAGAAAAAAATATTAAACTTGAATTTCCTTTATATTTCAACTTTAAATGGAATTTATTATTGTTTTTCCTTGGATCACCCTGGTTGAAATGCGGTTCTTTTTTTTTNCTATGGGTGTCAAATGAGTAAAGAACCCTGCGAGTTTGTGCAACCGTGTTCTTGTTGCCAAGAATATATACAGTACAGCATTAAAAAAAAACGGTTGGTGGGAGGAACTGAAGAACTTCAGAAGCTGTCGTATCATGAAACCCCGACGTAAGTCGGGGGTTTTTTTAGTTGAAAAAAAGCGTCGTAGGTTGAAACTGACGTAACATGGGCCCGTCGTAAGTCGGGGGCCCACTGTACTATATTTCTTGGAAGTTTCAAATGCCTGCAAAAAAACTCCAAATATTTTGTGTGGGAATTCTTGCGTTCTATTTCCTCAATAAAATATGCCAATGATTAAAAATGTGTACTACAGTACCATGAATGTGACTGTTCTGGGCAATGATTGAAAACCCTGAAACAATTACAAGAACGATTTTGGCTTAAATAATCAAGTAAGAGAACAGCTACAAAAATCGATCTTCAAATTTGTCTGCAATTTTCAAGACTTGCAAAAAATCTGCGCTATGACTTTGTCACGTCTAACTATTCAAATACTGCTGTACTGTAATTTTTATTAGAATATTTTTACATAACAGTTATCTTATCTTGAGGATTTATTTTCCCTTTATTTGGGCTTGTCTTTTCAGAGGTACGAAAAAGCCGTAGATTTTTCGGGGGAAGTCCGTGTTGTCAAAAGGAATTACGGTACTGAATTTGCATTTTGCTGGAATACGAGAAGTACCTTTTCCCACGGAAATTGGCACACAAAAAAAAACATTCGGGCGTGGTTTATATATTCCAAGGCGTCTCGCAGTAAATGGTTTCTTATTTGCACATGTCAATCAATGCACGATTGCTTTTCGCTATCACAATATTTGGATAATAAAGCCAAATCAACGTCGAATTAGGACAATCTTCGCCACAGTCTTCACTTGAAAAAAAAAAAAATGCATGCTGAAATCTTGAAGTGCTTGAGTTGGTCATGCAGGTACAGCAATAATTGCATTTTGAGGATATTCAACAAACTTCTGTAATTATGTAGAACTTGAATGTAAAGAAAGTGCATCTTATATTTGCAGGTGCAGTTAAATTTTCTTCAAATTTTGAGGCACAAGAAAAATAAGCATGTCTTACAATTAATAACGTTTCCAGCTGTTGTATCCAAGGGAGGAACATTGAAAACCTGCGCAATTTGATTTTCAAAAAATAAAATTTTCTGCGCAAATGCACAGAATTCTACAAATGAACCACAAGATGCAGTTGCAATTCGCATTTTGTGTGTGTCTGCGAGCTGTTGAGATGTCTGACTGTCTGAGACAATACTTTTTGAATTTTAAATGGTTCCATGCTATAAGGTCACATTGTGCATGATCCCAAAAATTATGGCTGCATACTGGAGCAGTTTGCAAAGAAAAAAATGCATTACTTGAATTTTTTTTAAGAAGAAATGCACCAAGAGCTGGAAGAATTCGTCACTTATAATCCAATGTTCAAAGGTATAAAAATTAGGTCTCCTAAGTCTTCAGTACCTCGATGAGTTTTGGAAAATTTTCAGAATCTTCCCCAATGTTTGCCACAAATTTTCAAAAATTGTAAGGGATAAATTGAGGAAATGTGCTGCCCAGAAAAATTGTAAAAAGCCATTCGTTTTTCCTTTTCATGACGCTGTAAAATTTTTATTTTGAAAGTCATTGGTTATACAGTTGGGTCTTGAATCACAAACTGAATTGGTACCTGAACAAAATTTTTTAGCCAAATAGTTTGTAAGGCAAATCATACTTTCCCTCAAGAAAGTATAGGAATACTTTTATTTAGTTCCAGAAGCTTGAAAAAGCCCATGAAATTAAAGAAGATGCATTCTAAAAAAAATTTCAGGCCTAAAATCCATTAAATCTTTTCAAGGCAATATACAAGACACTCACTCTACAGTAAAACAATACATAGAAGTGAAATTTTAAAGTGAGTTTCTCCAGAGGTTTCTTCTTGAAAATTTTAAATGCAACACCACAAACTTCATCACAGACCAAGGACTTTTGATAGAACATTTTAATGCTAAAAAGCTGTTGAATTTTTACCCACTTAGAATGAATAAAAAATTGGCGATCAAGAATTGGCCACTAAACTTTTGAGACATTCTTGGATGAATTAATAAATAAGTTTAAACATGAATCCCTATATTTTGCTAAAGATATTGTTTTTA